AACAAGTATCTTGGGAAGAAATCACATTTTACTTTTGACACTCAACGCAGTCTCCATGCAAAGTGAAATACTGTGTCGATATCTGCACCTCCTGCTGGTGTTCATCTCTCCTTTCCGCACTTCTGTCTCAGACTTGTCCCATCAGTTCTACTTCTGTTGCTTGTCGTTTTTGCCTCCAAGGATTGTAGAAGTATTGGCTTTTTCTTTTTTTTCAGAACAATGCTTTGGGCACCTGATTTCACAACTATTTAGTGTTTTTTAATGCTTGCTCATGAGAAAAAAAATTATACATTTTCCTGTATAAGCATTATTTTGCTAATGAGTTTCAGATCTACAAAAAACCGGACAGTGGTTTTGGAGGGAGAAGAAAAAAGTATCTTACTTTTGTATCTGTCATTCAGCTCTTAATCTTTCTAGATTGTCTGAACATTTTTCATGTTCTAAATGCTTCCAAAACACACAGATTAGCCCAAACTGATTAAAGTATGTGTTCCATCCTCTTTATCATACCCAGGAAAGTCATGCTTTTGCATATTACTGAGACTATCATAATGAGGTGTAACATATCTGATATGTTAAGAACATCAACTGCTTTCCAAATAATTATTTCTCTTTTTGCAGCAGAGCTGTATGTAACACATAGAGCCTATAGCAATGAAATGCATTAGAAGACACTAACAGAAACGTTGGTTTCCTCTGAACACTCTCTGTTCACTCCCTCGAAATAAGAGAGCATGTCTTATAAACATAAAACATGATTGTGATCTCCCCTGGAAGAGCACAAGCCAAGAGAAATGTGATCTTTGTTAGCTGCAGGCTCTCCTACAGTTCATGGGCAGCCATACACTGCACGCTCTCCTGTGGCTGTCTTATGTTGCCAGGGTAGTGGGGGTTTTTTGGTGTCAGCAGAAGATGCCATAAAGACAGACCTTGTGAAGAACATGGAGAGAGCACAGACCAGGGGGTCATCTGCAACTCCATCCCAACTGCTGGCCTTGGTGGTTCAGTACAGGTGGCAGCCCTAAGATCCTCATGGCTGAGACTACTTTCATAAAATGAGGGGAAACCTGCCAAGAAGGCATCTCTCATGGCTAAAATATTGTCATTTTCTGGCTGAGGATATGACTCAGTTTCCAGGCAAGCCTTTGTGGATGAGTGTCCTCGCAGCACGGCACAGGAGTGAAGCGAGGGTGGCTGCAAGACAACTTCACATGACCTGGGTTTTGGCCCAAGAGAAATTTCCCGGAGAGCCCTAAGTCAGAGCAGCTTCCCCTGGGATCCCTTGCAGGATCTCTTCCCCGTGGCAATCCAGCCGTGCCCAAGCCTCCCATGCCAGGGCTTGCAGCTGGGCTTGATGGAGGCAGTTCTCTACATGCCTCACCATTTTGTGTCTCGCAGGAAGGAGTGGGAGTGAAACCTCTCCTCCACCCCTCAGATACTCTCACTGTCTCTGTACCAGGTATTAATACGGGGCACTCTGTTTCTTACAGGGTGGAGGAGAGAACGAGGAAAGACGTTTTTCTCCTGCCCTAAGCCCTCTCACAAAGTGCTTCCAGATCTCCAGGTGAACAGTGCTCACACTCTGCCTGGTGCTATTTTCTGCAAAGCACCCATTCAGACCAGTGGCAGATTCTCATAAAAAACAGCAGCAGGATGCAATTAATACACTGTAAAAGCCCTAAGTGTCAACTGGAGAAACCATTTTAAAGCACTTCAAGATAAAACCCCTGGGGAGTGCTTTTCTTACCTTAAAGGTGCCTATTTTTTTTTTTTTTTCAGTTAACTGTGATCTAAGCAGAGATTCAGGTAGTAATAAATAAAATCTCAGGGAAAACTCTTGGTAGAAAGAAAAGCGAAAAACCCCCAACCACGCTTAGAAATGTTTTCTTTTTTGAAGGGCAAGGGGTAAGAACAGGAGGAATTTGATCTTTACTACTGAGTCCACACGGGGTAGAAAGGCAGTAAAACAAGGAACACCTGAGAGGTGCAAAGAAAGCCTTAAGCTGAAAATTTTGGAGAAGAAGGAGTTAAATGCTTTTAAGCAACCATCCGTCCTCTTACCATAGATAAGGGTGCATTCTAGTGGCAAAATCCATGCAATGCAGCTGCACAGATGACTGATCTAAAAAGAAACCTGGGGAATATGAAGCTTTGGAGGTGTGTGTGCCTGTGTGGAAAGGGGGGTTGACTTGAATCGCACATAAACCTCACTCAGAATTAGCTGATCCCTTTGAATTTCCCACTGCCCTGCTAGATGCTCCAGTGCTTGAGCTTCTGAGCAGACTCCCATCCTTGGTTCTGCTCACCCCCCTGCTCCAGGTGTAACCCCTGAGCACAGCTGCGGGGGCTGCACACCCAAGTTTTGGAGATTCCCTCCCCTACGCTTCCAGCTTCCCTGCTCCTAGAGATGAATGAGAACTAAGGGAGGCAAGTGAGAAGGACCAGGGCCGGGACAACTGTAACTCTGAGGAATGCAGCGGCGGAACAAAAGACAACAAACCCAAAGCTACCCAGGACAGGGGATGAGCACTGCAAAACGCTTTATTTTTTGCTTTTTTTTTTTTTTTT